CATTATCATCACATTGTTATAGCAAGGCAAACTAATGAGCATTTTCATAACATTGGGATAGCAAAGCACACTAATGAGCATTATTATAACAGTGTTATAGCAAGGCACTCGAATGAACATTATCATAACATTGTTATGAGAAGGCAAACTAATGAGTATTATCATAACATTGTTATAGCAAGGCACTCTAATGAACATTATCATAACATTGTTATGAGAAGGCAAACTAATGAGTATTATCATAACATTGTTATAGCAAGGCAGACTTATGAGCATCATTATAGCAAGGCACGCTAATGAGCATTATCATACCTTTGTTATAGCAAGGCACACTAATGAACATTATCATAACATTGTTATGAGAAGGCAAACTAATGAGTATTATCATAACATTGTTATAGCAAGGCACACTTATCAGCATTATCATCACATTATAATAACAAGGCAAACTAATGAGCATTATTATAACATTTGAATAGCATGGCACACTAATGAGCATTACCGTAACATTGTTATAGCAAGGCACACTTATGAGCATTATCATCACATTGTTATAGCAAGGCAAACTAATGAGCATTTTCATAACATTGGGATAGCAAAGCACACTAATGAGCATTATTATAACATTGTTATAGCAAGGCACACTACTGAGCATTATTATACCATTGTTATAGCAAAGCACTCGAATGAACATTATCATAACATTGTTATAACAAGGCACAATTATGAATATTATCATAAAATTGCAATAGCAAGGAACACTAATAAGCATTTTCCTAACATTGTTATAGCAAGGCAAACGAATGAGCATTATCATAACATTGTTAAAGCAAGGCACACTAATGAGCATTATTATACCATTGTTCTAGCAAGGCACTCGAATGAACATTATCATTACATTGTTATGGGAAGGCAAACTAATGAGCATTATCATAACGTGGTTATAGCAAGGGACACTAATGAGCATTATCATACCATTGTTATAGCGAAGCACACCAATGAGCATTATCATAACATTGTTATAGCAAAGCACTCTGATGAGCATTATCAAGACATTGGCCTTCACATCATGAGAGGATATAGCACACTTTCCATTAAGATAATGATATATACCCTTAAAACATACAAGATACAAGAAACAAGATACAAGAAATTTTATTTAACGTCGCATTCATGTAAGCAAGGAACATTAGCTCCTGAGAGCTATTATTGCGACAAACATATGTAAAATAACAATAACATATTATATTACAAGTAAAGGGAGATAGTCACATATATAATAAAAAAACAGTAATAATCATCACAAAGAAAGACAGTATACATATCCCAGGTTTCTAAGTGATTGGGAGTCCCCTTCCTACAAAGGCCCCCGGTATAGATATATAAATATAGTGTTAATATATGAAAAGCATTAAATGTGATCACAGATAAGTAGTATTCAGAATAAGTAAATAAAAGACATAGTTAATAGTGAATGACTACTTGTATATCACACAAGAATTACTTAGGACTTAGGATTAAAACACTATGGAATATACATACAATGCTAATATAGCAATGAAGTGAATTAAAAATGATACCGAAATCAATTAACAAAGTTTATCAAGTTTTGTAAAAAAAAGTATTTTAGAATATATGGAATTAAAATACAAATAAGATCCTGCAAACATATAGAATAGAATTAAAACATATAAGAAATGAAATAAGACAATAAAAGTATCACACAATCCAAAATGTCAGGTGGCAGAGGCAACCAGGGCACACTATGAAGTATAACGCAATCCAAAATGTCAGGTGGCAGAGGCAACCAGGGCACACTATGAAGTATCACACAATCTAAAATGTCAGGGGGCGGAGGTAACCAGGGCACACTATGAAGGATCACACAATCCAAAATGTCAGGAGGCAGAGGTAACCAGGGCACACTAAGAAGTATCACACAATCCAAAATGCCAGGTGGCCGAGGTAACCAGGGCACACTATGAAGTATCCCACAATCCAAAATGTCAGGTGGCAGAGGAAACCAGGGCACACTATGAAGTATAACGCAATCCAAAATGTCAGGTGGCAGAGGAAACCAGGGCACACTATGAAGTATCCCACAATCCAAAATGTCAGGTGGCAGAGGCAACCAGGGCACACTATGAAGTATAACGCAATCCAAAATGTCAGGTGGCAGAGGTAACAAGGGCACACTATGAAGTATCCCACAATCTAAAATGTCAGGTGGCAGAGGCAACCAGGGCACACTATGAAGAATCACACAATCTAAAATGTCAGGGGGCGGAGGTAACCAGGGCACACTATGAAGTATAACGCAATCCAAAATGTCAGGTGGCAGAGGTAACAAGGGCACACTATGAAGTATCCCACAATCTAAAATGTCAGGTGGCAGAGGTAACAAGGGCACACTATGAAGTATCCCACAATCTAAAATGTCAGGTGGCAGAGGCAACCAGGGCACACTATGAAGTATAACGCAATCCAAAATGTCAGGTGGCAGAGGTAACAAGGGCACACTATGAAGAATCACACAATCTAAAATGTCAGGGGGCAGAGGTAACCAGGGCACACGATGAAGTTTTCAACTTTTCGGAAGTCATTTGGGAGGCTGTTCCACACCCGGGCGGCCTCAAAAGCAAACGATTTTTTGTCATACTTCAAAGTGTTGACCCTGGGCACCTCTGCAGTATTTTCCTTCCTGAAGTCATAATTAGACATCTTAATATTTACAAGATTATGAATATATTCAGGAGAAATTTTGTTTATATTTGAAAAACCTCACAACCCATTTCCTTCAGAGGCCTTACATGAAGCCTTTCGCTGTTGGTAATACTGAGTAAGTGTCTGAAGGATGAGTTGTGATCATTATGTATAAACCTTAAAGCTCTTTCTTGTATCTTTTCTAGCTTTCTGACACTCTTCACGGGACAAAAGTGCCAGACTAAAGGACAAAATTTATCAGGGTTTGCTTTCATCTGGTTTGATTTAAACCAGTCTATTAAATGTTGACAGTCATTTTCAATATTATGTTTTTAAAGCATCTGGGTCTGTATTCGATTCACTGACAGTGTTGTCGTCTGCATAATTATATAATTTACAGGATGTCACATATAAAAACATATCATTTATAAATACATTAAAAAGCAAGGGTCCTAAAATAGAACCCTTGGGGACCCCCTTTTTTACCTGCTGATTCCTGCTGCTCAGGTAGCTGGACACCAGGTTAACTGAGGCTTTGCCCAGGCCATAGGCCTCCAGCTTCCAACCCTACATACATATTACTCACACATCATCAAACGAACCTAGACTTACACTAGTCATTTTATGATAGAATTCTGTTTCTAACACATCTCCCCCTTTTGAGTGAACTTCAAACAAACAATCAATGTTTTAACGTTTAACTTCAAAAAACGTATTAACTCGATCCATATGGATCAGAACAAACTAAATTGAGCCATGTCCATGAAAACACTTTGCCTAGAACTCAATGTAATAAAGAAATTGAAACTACACTAAACAAAGTCACTCAGGTGTTTAGGTCTGATAACACACCGGCCTGAACGTGTGGTGACAGTTGTATCATCACTGTGATCAGGATTTGAATGGACACGGTCAGAGTCTTGGCGAAACTCACTGTTCTGAGAGTTCTCAAGTGGCAGACTATCTGTCTCGTTCCCAGGTGGGACATTCTTCAGAACCACATTGTCTGGTACAGTTTTGGTCACTTGCATATCTGTGAACTCGGGATCTTTAACGAATCGCGTTAGTTCCGAATTACCAACAGGCTGAGTTCTGTGTCTCGTTAATTGCAAATGTCTACGATTTCTGTGGTAAACACCACGGGGTGTTCTGACTTCATTTTAGCCTTCTCCACTGTTCCCTCCGAACTCCAAAGTTTCTGATTGTCTAATTTGAGTTTGACTGTATCTCCAGGTTCCAGCTTGGGTATAGTGGACACACTGCGTTGTGACGATCATATTGAGATTTGTACCGTTTCTTGTAACTACGGTCGCACTGGTGTACCAATCTCTTACTTGGCCACCTCGGGTCGAGTGTCTTGGGTGTAACCGGTACAGTCGTTCTTATTTGACGACCCATGATGAGCTGACTCGGGCTAGCTCCTGTTGAAGCAATCGGTGTTGCCCGACACGCCATTAGAGCAAGGAAAATGTCGTCTTGCGCGAGTATAGGTTTTGTGATCTTTACTCCGCTCTCCGCCTCCCCATTTGCATGAGGGTAGTGCGGACTTGTGAAGGTGTGTACGAAGTTGTACTTCTCCGCGAATTTATTGAATTCGTGCGAGGCAAATTGTGTCCCATTGTCGGACACGAATTCTTCCGGAATTCCAAACCGTGCGAAGATTTTCTTCAGCTTTCCGATAACTTGACCACTTGGTATGTTAGATAGGTGAGCTATCTTTAGATACCTTGAGTAGTAATCCATGACTACCAGGTAACTCTCGTTTATAAAGTCATAAAAAGATTTGCCGATATCTTTGGCAACGGTCGCGCCGGTAGAGGAGTAACCTTTAAGGGTTCCTTCCTCTGAGTAGGTGTGTGTTCCTGACAGGATGGACATCGTTCCACCATACACAGGTCGATGCACGCTCGCGACACTTGGTAATACCTAGGTGTCTTTCATGAAGTGTCTCAAGGAGTTCTGCGCGTAGTGTACTCGGTATCACTATCCTTTGTCGGTATAGCAGTAAGTCATTCGATACTGACAGTTCGTTCCGTAATGCGAAGTAACCATCCATATCCTCTAGGGAGCTTTCACGATCAGGCCATCCTGTCCTTGTGAGCCTGAGAGGTTTCTGAAGATGTGGATCTTCTAACGAAGCTACTCTAATCCGAGCCAATTTCCGGTCTTAAAAAGGCGAGGAAGACCTAACGGAGTCCACAAACACTTCCATGTCCTCATCAATTGGAGCCTCGTTCAGTTTAAGCGGACTCCTTGATAGAGTATCCGGGACAACTAACAGCTTTCCAGGTACATGTTCAGCTATTGGAGCAAATCTCCTCAAACGCATCAGTAGACAGACGCTGACACCTCAGGGGCGTCCTGTCGAGGTCCTGGGTGTTGATAAGAGGTATCAATGGCCTGTAATCTGTGAGTAGTTTAAACGACTCTAGTCCTACCAAGTATCTTTCAAATTTTTCACATGCCCAAACCGAGGCCAAACACTCTTTCTCAATCTGAGCATATCTCGTCTCTGCTGGCGTCAAGGTGCGAAAACAGTACGCCACAGTTTTCATCTCTCCTCCATCCACCTGGAAGATGGTCCCACCAAGGCCATAGCTGCTCTCATCCGCACTGATGATCGTTGGCTTGTTCACAGAATAGAAAATCAACGTTGGAGTGTTCGTCAACATTCCATTTATTTGTTCGAACGCATCTTGTTGACGTGGCGTCTATAGCCACACAATGTCCGATTTGAGTAGATCTGTCATGGGACGCATGATGGTTGATAAGTCGGGAATAAATCTTCCCAGGTAGTTGATCATACCAATAACTCTTCTCAGCTCAGTTACATCTTTCGGAGCGTCCAATCCTCTTATCGCTCCGACGCGTCCAGGATTGGTACTGATGCCGTCCCCACTCACGACATGCCCAAAGTACTCAAGTTTGGACCTTCTCGCACTTGTCCTTGTTTAGCTTAAGGCCTGATGCTCGTATCCTATCTAGGACCTTTGTCAGACGCTTGTCATGTTTCTCCTGAGTCTTCCCATAGATCAACGTGTCATCGATGATCGCCTCAACTCCTTCTAGACCGGTCAACAACTCTAACATTTTCCGCTGAAAGATTTCGGGTGCAGATGTTATTCCAAATGGCACTCTACGGAAAGCGAAGCGTCCAAATAGAGTGATGAACGTCGTGAGCCTACTACTACTTTCCTCCAGAGGTATTTGATAAAATCCGCTACTGGTGTCCAATTTGGAGAACACCTTAGCACCCACTAGCTTGGGAGCTATATCATCAAGGGTTGGTAGCATGAAATGTTCTCGCTTTACAGCCTCGTTTAACCTTTTTAGGTCAACACAGATACGGATCTTCCCCGTCTTTTTCACCACCGGAACCATTCGGTTAAGTTCGTCTTCGACCTTTTCGAGTAAGGGAAATGGTACTCGCCTTGAGGCGCTAATACAATAAGGAGATGCGTGCTCCTTTAACTGTATCTTGACTGGCTCGCACGCCAGCAGTCCTGTTGGTCCAAACAGGTCATCAGTAACAGCTTCAACTCTCATTATAAGTCCCATTTGGTGTGCGACACTCCTTCCTAGTAAGTTACTAGAGTTGTCTCCACCAATCACACATATTGGGAATTTGAATTGCCTCCCCTTGTGCTTAGTATGTCATTCAAATCTACCTAGGGATGGAAGGACTTCTTCTCCTGGACCCTGAAGTATAGAACCGATGAGACGCAATGCTGGACGTTGATTAAGCTTGTTGTATGTCGCTTGTGAGATAACAGTAGTGTCTGCTCCGGTGTCTACCTTGAATGTTATTGGTGTGTTACCAACTTTGAGTGTCACCTCCCATGCTTTTTCGTAACTGTAGCTTGAGGTTATGGCTCCGAGAAAGAATTCCTCTTGCTCGGTCACTTCCTTTACAGCAACACCCTTTTTCGTCCGACAGCAGCACGCGAAGTGATCCATCTTAGTACATAACCTACAGCGCCTCCCCATAGCTGGGCACTTATCAGGTCCATGACTGTGTCCACAACGCGAACAAGTTCGCTTTTCATAAGACTGAGTCTGTCTATTGTTACTGTACGACTGACCTTGTGAATGGTGTTGTTGGGTATTGGAGTAACTTTTCTTTCTGTGTTGTCTCCCCTTTCTTACCTCTTCCACTTGTTTGTGTCCTGTATACATTCTAGTTACACAAAAAACCTGTGTAAATTCTAGCTACACAATGTCCTATTGAATCCTAGTTACAAACTGTACCGAAAAGACTCGATTCCTGCGTAAATTCTAGTTACACAATGTCCTGTGTAAATTCTAATTACACAAAATCATGTGTAAATTTTAGTCACACAATGTCCTGTGTAAAATCTAGTTAGACAATGTCCTGTGTACATTTTAGTTACACCATATCCTGTGTAAATTTTAGTTACACAATATCCTGTGTACATTTTAGCTACGCAATCCTGTGTAAATTCTAATAACACAATATCCTGTGTAAATTCTAGTTACACAATGTCCTTTTATTATGAAAAGTTCTTTTTACACAACCAATATACTTTTCTATGTGACGTTTCGATGACTAGTGCGATATGTACATTGGTACCTTCATCAGACAAATGACCAGTGAAGCGTTTGCACACAAATTTGTTCTACAAAATCGATGTCGATGTAAGCGTATGTACAACAGCTACGTTTTGTCATAGATGTGCGAAAGCCTTTGAGCCCCCTCGTCTCGATTTAGAACTGGCTTACTGCGCTGTATCCAGATGACTTCTTTTATCTTCCGCTTGAACAGATTGCTCTTTCTGTCCAAAACTTTGGAGTTATCCCAGTCAATCACATGATTTTCCTGTGAGGCATGGTCTGTGGTTGTCGATTTATTAACTGGGACTCCAACTGCTTCCTTTCTGATCTGGTGAATTTCCTACCTTCTTGGGTTTCTGTATCTTTCTGGTGTTCACCAAGGAGGACCCAAATCGCCTTCCAGTCTCTCCAATATACGATGCGTTGCAGCTTTTGCATCCGAATACATTCTGCGACGTTTTCTTTAGGTGTTTTATCCTTAAGATATCCATGTTTCCAGATCATTAGCAGACATTCTTGGACCGCTAGTGGGTAAATCGGAACACCATGTAAAGAACTCGAAACCCATCATGATTAAGGAAGACGAAGAATTCATTTCACATGATGTTGTCCCTCTGTTAACCAACAGATCCATTGACGATGCACTTAGAATCATTCGGAAACGCTTAGAATTAGACAGATCCTGGCGAAATTACACAAACCTCTAGATTCAGGACATCATGGATTTGCTGGAATTTTTGCTGACAACAATTTTAGTTTCCGTCATAACATATATCAACAACGCTTGGGTACTGCTATGGGTAGTCCAGTGCCTCCCATTGTGGTCAATTTGTTCATGGAACATCCGGAGCAAGACGCAATAGCCACTGTCCCCATAGACTCCAAGCCTAGCTTACGGAAACGATATGTTGACGACCTACTTAAAATAACCAAGAAGGGTTCACAGAAGGATTCTACGGCACAAATCAACACCATAGATGCCACTAACAATATCAAATTTACATGTGAGGAAGAAACCAACGGCACAATGCCCTTCCTAGACACTACTGGTAAAGAAAGAAGACGGAACCGTGAAGGTATTGGTCTATAGAAAAAAAGACCCATACAGCCAATACCTGAAATTCAAATCTCACCATCCTTTGCACCAGAAGTAAGGCGTCGTACGCACTTTGCTCAACAGATGTGATACAATAGTCACAGAACAACAGGACAAAACACAAAAGCAGAATCACATCGCTAGGGCAATGAGAACATGTGCGGAAAGGGCCCTAAAACGGGTAAAAAAACAGTGTCAAAGTAAGGGGAAGAACAAGAAAAGGTCAATCAAGGATAAGAACAAAACCAAAGGTCAAGTGGTAATCCCGTATGTAAAGGGTATATCAGAAACCATCAAGAGGATATATCGCGGTCATGGCATAGCAACAGCCATGAAGCCCCACAATACGTTTCGCAATATCCTAGTTCACCCTAAGGATAAAACACCTAAAGAAAACGTCGCAGAATGCGTAAACAATGCAAAAACTACACAACTCGTACACATTTTACACCTTTGTGTGCATACGCCTCACTGGTCATTTGTCTGATGAAGGCGACAGTGTACATATCGTACTAGTCATCGAAACGTCACATAGGAAATTGTATTGGTTGTGTAAAAAGAACTTTTCATAATCATACACAATGTCATGTGGAATATGTTAGTAATACAATGTCCTGTCGAACATTTTAATATCACAATGACATATATAAAAATTCTATTTACCCAATGTTTTGTGAACATTCTAGTTTTTCAAATTGTCCTGTGAAAACATTAAAACGTTCTATGTAACACACTTTATGTGCTATTTACAACATCGACACATCATATCCGATAGAATACATTGGAACACAATGTGCATAACTCATACTTGTGTTGTAACATTGCTTATAGTAATTGTGACTTCTAATTGTACTGTAGCGTTGTTTATTCTAATTGTGTTTCTTAACTGCATTGTAACATTGTTTATCGTCCCTTTAACGCCAACAAAGCACGTGTCTCAGATCAAACCTACTCACTGCTGAGAACCTTACTTACATACCTGGTGAGAAGGATTGCAAGATACTGGCTTAACTCGATTAACGTTTAAAAGGAACAATACTAGTATGTAGGAATTGCTTAACTTTAAAGTACAACTTGGTTGACCCATGGCATAATCTGCAACCTACCACACCGCCCCGTTGATCAAGCGACAGTATACAATGATGCTATACCAGGGTACATAGTATTGTTATATCTCTACAGACAACACTGACGTACTACGCCGTCCTGTTCTCCGGTGGTATACCATGATGCTATACCTAGTACAGAGTATTGTTATATCTATACAGACAATACTGACGTACTACGGCGTCCTGTTCTCCGGTGGCATACCATGATGTTATACCTGGGTACATAGTATAGTTATATCTATACAGACAATACTGACGTACTACGGCGTCCTGTTCTCCGGTGGCATACCATGATGTTATACCTGGGTACATAGTATTGTTATATCTATACAAGCAATACTGACGTACTACGCCGTCCTGTTCTCCGTTGGTATACCATGATGCTAAACCAGGGTACATAGTATTGTTATATATATACAGACAATACTGACGTACTACGCCGTCCTGTTGCTCCGGTGGTATACCATGATGCTATACCTTGGTACGTAGTATTGTTTTATCTATACAGACAATGCTGACGTACTACGCCGTCCTGTTGCTCCAGTGGTATACAATGATGCTATACCAGGGTTAATAGTATTGGTAACCTTTTACCTTTAG